CATGTGACTATACCAGCTAAAAGAGTCCTATCAGAGTCTATATAGAACTAAATCCTATCTGGAGGCTTAGATCTACAGGAGACTAGGATGAAAGTTTATGAAGCTAGATTGAAAAAAAAAAAAAAAAAAAGGCAAAAAAAAAAACCAAGCAAAAAAAAAACTATTTTGGATTTTTTTTGCACCTTCCTCAGGAGCATTCATGGGCTAAATAGGCCTTGGATGTGCTTTAGGTGGTTTTTGTCCATAGCTCTTACGGCTTTTGCTGCTTCTGGTCCAAAAAATGTGACTAAGTGACAATACCAAAATATTCAGACTAGAAGTGCAGTACAATTGAAAAAATTCTTACAGAAGTCTTCATTGATTAAGTTGTACAAACAATTCAACAATCAGCAGGAAAAGAGGTGGTCACAAAACAACTTTTTCTGCTGAACAGTCTGATGAAAACAAGTAATCAAACAAACAAACAAATCAATATTTTTAATTAAATATTGTCAACTAAACAAGAATTTGCTAAAGTTTGAAAGGAGATGTTGTTTTCTACTGAAAAATCATTTTTTCAAAGAAAAAATATTTCTCTAATTTTTTTTTTTATTTTTAAATAGACACTTTTTAAACACCCCTACCAGGACCTATGCTGTATATTCTTCAGCACCATCTACTGGTGTTGTATCATTAATTAACCATTTATGCAAATACAAACCACTTTTGTAATAAAATCCAATTATAATCATAAATCTTACTCTTTCAAAAAATATTTAAAATTGAGAAGGCAGCATAAAACCTGTTATTTATTGTATTCCCTCTTGATGACAGAGAGAAAGTTAACCCTGCTGAAATTTGCTTAGAATCGTAACTCACTAGGGAAATGCAATTTTTTTTTTATGTTTTGTAAAACACTGGACCAGAAAAAATGTGATTCTATGGAATAATTTCCACTTTACATTTGCTTTTGAGATCCTTGAATACTGAAGACAGTTTTAAAGATTATTTAGATAGTTAATTTTATGATAGCCATAATCCTCTATTTTAGATAGCTGGCATCCTCTATTTTCTTCCTTTGATTCAGACTAAATTAAATAACCTTTCTTGTCAGGTGGTCCATATTTGGATTTCAGATTTTCCCCTGACTTACAGCAAGGGAATGCTGCCCTTATATAAAATTCAGAAGATTTTGTGATGCAGAGAGGACAATTTACAATTGACAAAGGAAATTTTGAAGGTCCTTGTGGGTCTGAGAAAAATAGGAAGAGGGGACAGAGCAGAGCCACTTCTGTATAGACTAAGTGGCTCGGTAAAAACAACAGCACTTGTCTCTTACCTGTAGGGTGGCTCCGTAGTCACACTTGTTTTCATTATTGCCTGTAATAAGGTGACAAATCTGAGTGTCTGTATAGCCACAGTAAGTTAAACATAATAATGCTGATAATACAGAATTGAGCTACAACATTACAAGAGTGTAAAGAAAACCCTTAACAGGGAAAAAAAAAATGAATGCGTGCCTTCAATTCTGGAATTAGATAATCATGAAGACACTCTTGTATTTGCCCAATAGAGAGCCTGTGCAGACAGTGACCTTGGCTTGAAAACATTCCCCATAAGGGTGACAGGCTGACAGAACCAGAGAGCAGCCTGGGCTCTGACGCTGCTTGCTTAGAACTTCGGCCTCCCTTTAATAATTTGCACCAAAACCATCAATGAATCTCAATTATAATTGTGCGAATTTTGTACTGAGTTCACTAAATTCAAATCACCTGGCTACTGACATATCAAAGACACATCACAGGCATATCAAAGATTCCAAAGTACTGCTATAAATTGGAAGGGGGAAGGAACAAACCAAAACCAAGCAGCCACCAAACCAACCCTCCTATTTATTCTGCACCTGCTGAAACACCACCATCCTCCCTCAAATCCAGTATTTGCACCGCCAAGGCACATGGCACTTCCCGCAGCCTTGGTGGCTCTTTGGAGCACTGGCAATGCCACAAGTGCCACTTCGCTCTGGTGGCACTGCTGCAAAGCACTGTGGCATTACAGTAATCATGGTTCCTCAGTTTTAATAGAGGGACTCAAGCTAGCTGCACCTGCTTGGCATTCCCGGATAACAGCTGTATTCTTACACCTCCCCCTTAGAACTGACAAAACACCGCCACTCCTTACACAGATGACACAAGCACCAAGTTTGAACAAATACAAGTTTACATTTAGATTTTGCAGTATTTAATATATCCTTACTGTCACTTCTAGCCTGTAGAAAAAAAAAAAAAAAAAGAGGTTTTGCTAGCTCAGACACAGCTGCTTGACACCTAGTAAACAATATCCTTCTGAAGTTGGCCTTGGTTCGAGGCATATGCAAGTAGATCGTGAAAATGTGAGCACTTAAGAAAGGGTGTAGCGTTGTGGAGTTAGTGCTGGTAATTAAAAACAAACAAATAAAAATAAAAAAAAAAAAAAAGAAAAAAAAGAAAAAAAGAAAACAGCCTATCCAAGCTTGACTGCAATGGATCTTGTAATGAAGCCTGCAGGGGTTTTAGGTGCTGCCACCCCATCCCGCTGCTTTCCAGCACCTCTAGCTAGCACAAGGATTATCCGAGCGGCTCCCATCCCCTCCTTCTTCTTGGAGATGGAACCAAGGAGCCTTCCCCTCCCAGGCTCCTCTCCAGCATTGCCACCACAGAAGTGAGGAGTGGAAGTTAATTACAGGGTTGGGATACCTCAGAGGCTGCCAAACACAACGTTTTATCCTACGCTGCATATTTATTGCTTCTCATTTCCACTCCCAATTAACAAAAAGTGACAATTTGCCAAGGCCACGGAAACAGGTGGAGGAGTGCAGCAAGGGGAGCTTTTCTTCTGTGACTTTCCCTCCTGTTCTTCCTTAGTATAAATGGGCTAGGGAAAAAAAAAAAAAAAAAAAAAAAAGTGTTTAAATGCTGTGTTATATTTGATTTGTTCTGCCCATGTCAGCCTGCCAATAAGCCAAACTGCTATGGAAGTACATGAAGCAACGTGGTGGTCATCATGCACGGATAATATGGAGTGTCCCTGCATGTGACACAGTGTGATTATCTTTAAGCCAATAACAGAATGTTTTTCACCGTGCTGTTCTTGCTAGGCAAAGATCATGCCTAGTTTCTTTGGTTTGGGTAGATATTTTTGTCTTTATTTTGACAGTGGGGCATAAACTATGTTTGCTTGTGCGGACATGGTTTACAGTTTGTACCTATGGAATATACAGTGAAAAGATATAACTGCACTCACATTCACTTTGGTCAAAAGTGGTTTGTGGCCAGTAATACCTCTGATCAGAATTTGTGCAGCGTGTAATTGTTATCATAAAACCCACGTATTACTGGAATTCGAGCCCTTCTGGAGCTAGAGCTATAGCGGGAGTGGAGCGGGGAAACCTGTTTGCTTTATGGCATGATTGCTTTGGTCTCTGTCCAGACCTTTCAATTTTCCTTGCAGCTGGGTGGCCGGCAGCGTATTGTGGGAGCCACAACCAGATGTGTTTGGGGGGAGCTGGGACCTGGACCGGAGCACCTCGAGGGCAGAGCCGCCGAGCAGAGAGAACACAACTGATACCTGCTTTTATTGAAGTGCCACCCTCTGATTTTCCCCTCGGACATGTCGTGTTGGACACAGCGCTCCGACGTCTCACGTGGGTGGCGAGGGCCAGGGGGAGCAGGAGACAGAGAAAACGGGGCGAGCTGATCTCTGCCGAAATAAAACGGGGTGCTGGCTTGCAGCAAGGCTGGCAGCCCCCACCCGCCGCGTTGCTCCGGCCGCTGCTCGCCGCGCAAAGTGCGCGGGGACGGCGGGGCGCGCGCGGGGATGCGCACGAGGACGCGCACGGGGACGGGCCCCCGCCGGGCGTAGCAGGCGCGGAGGGCGGCGCGGGGCGGGCGCTGCGGCAGCGGGGGTTGCGCTTGCGAAGGAGGAGGAGGAGGATGAGGAGGAAGGAGATGAAACGCCGGCTTCCCGCTCCCTGCCCCCGCCCGCCCCGGCGCGTGGAGCCGAGGCTCCAAAAACCTCCCAGGCACAGAGAATAGCGTTTCTGGGACGTGCTCCGGGCTGAGCCGTATTTGGGCTCCACGCGCCAAACGCTCCGCGGGGCCGGCAGGAGCGCCGTGCGCTCACACACACACACACACATATATATTCACAGTTATATATACATACACGCTCACACGCACATACACACATGTGCGCACGCGCGCTCACAAACACACACTATATATATATTTATATAGGCGCGCGGGGTCGCGCACAACCCCCGCGCGCGGGGTGTGTATGTGTGCAGAGGGGCGCGCACACGCACGCGCGCGCGCACACGCGCCGGGCGCGCGCAGCGGCGGAGGCAGAGCCGCGCCGGCGCCCCCCCCCACCCCCCCGCGCGCGCTCCGCGCTCCGCGCTCCGCATCCACCGCGCTCCGCGGCAGCGGCAGCCAAGGAGCCCCCGGCTGCCGTCCGGCCATTAACGCCTGGCGGGGAGGAGGAGGAGGAGGAGGGCGACGAGAGGAATAAGTCTATTAGTAACAACAACAAAACCCACCAACAAATCTGCGCTAGCGCCTTAGTCCCTCAGACCGCCGCTTTGCCTCGCATCTCTGCTCATCGGGCTGGTGCGCCTAGACTTTGTTTCAAGTGAAAAAAAAAAAAAAAGAGAGAGAGAGAAAAAAAACAGCGCTTGTTCAGCCACTTCCATTTTTCCCCCCTGCAGTGTCGCTGGTTGGAGTGCTTTTTTTTTTTTTTTTTTTCTCATTTTTTCCCCCCTTTCCCCTCATGTGGTTGGATTTGGCGGATCCGGAGCCAGCGGTGCTTCCTCGCGGCGGGGGGTGCGTGCGGCGTGCGGGGTGCTCCTCGCTGCCTTCCTCCCCTGCCGCCTCTTCGCTACAGCCGCGCTCGGGAGTGGAGCCGGGGAAAATGGGCAGCGCTGCTTACGACACACGGGGACTCTCTCCATCGCTGCTGCCGGGACGTGTGCCTGCCCTGCCGGTGTGTTAGAGAAAGAGCCTGCCAGCTTTCGGAGAGGAAGGTAAGGGCGCCCGGCGCTTTTGCCATCTCTCCTTCGCAGGGATTAGGACCGTGGAGCTTGCAGCTCCCTTCCAGCTCGGGATTCCGGGGAGGAGGCGGAGGAGGAGGGGGGGACAGGCTGTTGCTGAAGGGTAGGCAGAGGCAGCACATACAAGATGATCTCTGCGTTTACTTCTGCCCTGCAGTTGGAAAGTTAGAGAAGTCCGTTTCGCGACAGGTCTGCCTGACGGGGAGTAATTTCCAGCGGGACCGAGAAAACCTGAGGTTTGTGCACGATTGGGGTAATTTTGGGGGAGGTGGGGGGGGGGATGTTAGGTTAATAGGAAGTTAAAATAAGAGGAGTCAGTGGGTCTGCTGTTGGGGGAAAAAAAAATAGGTGGAGTGATGGCGCCGTCTATGTTCGGCTAAACTACAGTGTCACCTAGAAAATCAGTTTAGGGAATATCCAAACTAAACGCCCGCTTGGTTTTCGGCAGCAGAGGGTTCCCTCCTTCCCCAAACGGGCATCTCGAGCCGCCGTGGCCGCCCTTTCACCCTCGCGGCCACCGAACGGGGAGACCGTTTTAATCGCGGTGCCCGATCCTGCAGGGAGCAGCTGGGCTCCCAAATTCAGGAATATTGGAGATAAATCAGAGCTGCCGGCACCCTCGGTGCGTGTGTGTGTGTGTGCAACAGAGGGAGATTAAGGCAGCCTTGTGTCTGAGAAGCCTTGCATAAACAAGTGCACAACTAAAATGAGGGCCATTTGCTTACGTTTCTTCATAGAAAACAGCCTTGCACTGCAGACGTCTTTATTTTTTTTTCTCTAGTGCAAATGTTATAAAGATGGGAAAAAAAAAAGTGAGATGCTTTTACTTTTCAAACAAATAAGCAAATAAGCCCCTTCCTTGCTTTCCAGATTATAAAATTGATCCTTTTTCATGGGTGGAATTCCTAATTTAGACACTTATTGTCACATTGGCTTTCAACGCCTACACCATCCTGAATAACACTGCGCAGAACTGCATCGCCTGCTAAGTGCTTCAGCAAAGGGAAAATTGTTTCCAGAATTTCCTACAAGTTTCCTTTTTTTTTTTTTTTTCCAATCCTTAAATGCTCTGGAGAAGGAAGCGGGTGTTATTCATTGAGATAGATGCTCAGAAAGGAGAAAACCCAACCATTTGCTCAGCCCCAGCAGCTCCTTTTTTTTCTTTCTTTCTTTTTTCTTTTTTTTTTTTTCCCCTCCAAACCCACAGCTATAAAGAGGGTTACAGTTGGTGCTGCTTTGCCCTAGCGGGATTCAGAGTCCGAGTTATAATCTAGGAGATAGAGAAATCTCTTCAAGGGAGTTTAATCCGGTGATTTGTTCAGTTACGCAATGGGAGAGGGAAGATGCCTTGCCATTTGGTGAGGAGATGAAAAGCTCGGCAAAGACACACACACACACAGACATCAGAACTCAGGGGCTGTGTGTGTATCCGTCTGTCTGTCTCTGTTTACAGAGAAACAGTGCAGAGACTGCAACCCAGAGAGTTTTTAAATTAGCTTGGCATCACTTTTGTCTGCTCGTGCCTGTAAGCAGAAAGTGAAAAGCGTCTCAGTTACAAGAGATAAGCAGGCTTGCAAAGGGGAAAGCTGAGAACACTAGATTTTTATTTATTTATTTATTTATTTATTTATTTAGGATAACACTATGGAGATAAATGTGACTAAGGTTCACTTTATTAACTCAGGCCACCGGCAGGAGAAGAGAGCATGTGGAGGCTGTAAGGGTTGATGGGCACAGTAAAACAGCTTTATTTGGAAGTTGCAGCAGAGGAAATTTAATGTGGTTTTCCCCATTCAAGTGCCCATATGTGAAATACAGGAGCTAATCAGACAGTACTAAATATTCTTAATAAAAGGGCAAGTGAGAGATGGAGTCCAATCCAATACGTGCAGAGATCCTGTGTAGCACTGCCAACAATATAGAGCCAGTGATTGTAGGTACTAATATAATGATCCATTTTATATATCCTAAGAGGTTGTAGCACACTGAAATTATCTTAAAACACTGGCACTTAGTGGTGGTGCTAGACCACCGCTAGTTTCATCTGTCTGGCTTTGTTTCTTTCTCAGATAAGAGCTTGGAGATTTCATTAACTCATTAATCTTGGTATTTCTTGCTTGAGCTTGCTTTCTGTAGAGATTTTTGTTACCAGGTGGCCACTGCAAAGGCATGTAGACATATGGGATATAATGTTCCACCTATAACAAATAATAGTGGGTGCGTTTTTACATTATGGCTCCAGTCATTCACTATTACTTCTTAGAGTTAATAGAAAAAAAATGATATATAAAGACAGATGCTACCAGATTTCTTGACCTATTCTAGAGATATTCTTCATATGCATATTTTATATGCACATATATACTACAAATATAGTGTGCATATATATATATAGTATTATACTATAGACTATTTACTTACTTTTTGGAGAAATAAATAAATAATCTGCCCTTTTTTGGTCTGCTAGGCAAGGCGTCTGGCTTTTTACATAAGTCGAGCAGCTCTCCTCCATGCCATGATGAGCACCTCCTAGGCAAGAGAGGACATTCCGATTAATAAGCTAATAAATGTTGTTTTTTTAATTTGCACGTAGAAAATTTGCCTGTCGTGAGGGCCACGTGATGGCGCTGTTCACACAGCAGCAAACCGTTCCCTGGTGTTATAAAATGAAAATTACCTGCCCTTCTTTCTGAAAGGGGCTCTAACTGCAAGCTTGAAAACAGCTGGCTCGGCTATTGGAAGGAGTTTGCTTTTCAATGCGGGAAGAATTCTACTTGCCTTTTTATTTCATTTCATCTCCTGCAGGCCAAATGACATAGGATGAAGGCTGTTCGTAATTTGCTGATTTATATATTTTCCACCTATCTCCTGGTTATGTTTGGATTTAATGCTGCCCAAGACTTCTGGTGTTCCACGCTGGTGAAGGGGGTCATTTATGGATCGTATTCTGTAAGTGAAATGTTTCCTAAAAACTTTACAAACTGCACTTGGACGCTGGAAAATCCAGATCCGACCAAATATAGTATTTACCTGAAATTTTCCAAAAAGGACTTCAGCTGCTCCAACTTTTCCCTCTTGGCTTATCAGTTTGATCATTTTTCCCATGAGAAAATAAAGGATCTTTTAAAGAATAACCACTCTATAATGCAGCTCTGCAATTCCAAGAATGCTTTTGTATTTCTGCAATATGATAAGAATTTTATCCAGATACGTCGGGTCTACCCCATCGATTTCCCAGGATTACACAAAAAGGAAGAAGACCAAAAATCCTTCTTTGAGTTTTTGGTGTTGAACAAGGTGAGCCCGAGCCAGTTCGGTTGCCATGTGCTATGTACTTGGTTGGAGAGCTGCTTGAAATCCGAGAACGGGAGAACAGAGTCCTGTGGGATCATGTATACAAAATGTACCTGCCCGCAGCATTTGGGAGAATGGGGAATAGACGACCAGTCCCTGGTGTTGCTCAATAACGTGGTGCTGCCCCTCAACGAGCAGACGGAGGGATGTCTCACCCAGGAGCTGCAAACCACCCAGGTCTGCAACCTTACCAGAGAAGCTAAGCGGCCACCAAAAGAAGGTAGGTGCTGCCCGGGGAGGCTAAAGCTCCCGTCGTTGCCTGGTCCTGGCTCGCCTCGATACTCGCATTAATTCAACGTGCTCTGCACTGCAAGGCGGGAGGGCTGCACAGGAGGCACCTCCTGCAGGGCAGGCAGGGTTGCATTTCCATTTATAAATCAGCGTGCAGCGTGTAGCTCTGCTGAGCACTGTTGAAACTCCTCATATGTTTCCCCTGTTTCAGCCCCCACTTGCAGCAATGCTCCCAGGTTGAGAGGCAGGAATCGTGCTCTCCCTCACCACCTGTCTGCTGCAACCACCAAAATCCTCATCCTCATGCTAGGATCCCTTGACTTTGCAAGGAAAACATTTCCAAAGGCATGCAGGCAACCTCACAGAGACTGCAGGAGATTTAAAGTGCCCAGGATGCCTGATCCCAACTGGGCCAGACCTCAAGCAACCTCCAAATAAATGAAAAGCCAACCCCCGTGGCCAGAGCGGACCCTCTGCCCACGATGCCGGGAGGGGAGACGCTCTGTGCTCTGGCAGGCAGTGCCTTCAGCCCACTGCAGGACCCACTTAGGGACCCGCTGGCTGCTCTTGCTGCCGGAGCTTTTCCAGGCAGCTCCAGCTCCGGGAAGAGGCTTGGAGTGTGATAATACTACTAATGGGGAGGGGTGATGTGTTCAGCTGTGTGGTGACCGCGCTGCCAAAGCGGGGACCGTGCATGAGCTGCGGCTTCAGCAACTCCAGTGGCAGAAACCCTTCCTCTCGTCCTTTGGAGAGGCCAGGGGGTGGTTTCCGGGAAAGGCATGGGGGGGACCCGGGCCCAGGGCCTCGGGCTGACCCCAGCTGGGGCTCGGGTGTGATAGTGGCCGAGTGGGGGCTGTGTGGGAAAGGGGGGCTGGTGAGCGTCCGCAACAAGGGCTAAATCATCGCGCCCGGGGGGGTGCTGCATTTTAATGCAGGAAATGTTCCTTCTCTCCTCGTTCTCCGCGCGGCCACAAAGCGCCCAGTCTGCGAGAAGGCAGCGCCAAGCTCCCAGCCCCCCTCATAGAAGTGCCTTTGTGGAGGCGGGGAACATTGGCACGTTGTTGGGAAAGCGCCTTCTTTAAGGGCAGCCAAGCCCGAGCCGCGGGGTGGGGGGAGGTCGGGAAGAAGCGCTGAACTTGCTCCAGCTGCCCGCGGGACTAGCGGGGATGGCAGCTCGGGGCCTCCCCGCACGCTCCGCGCCGGGGAGCGCCGGGAATTGGGAAGCGCCGGGATGCGGAGAGCTCGAGAAGGCTGCGCAGCGGCAGGGATGCGACTGTGCACCTATTAGCGCTAATTAGCGGCGCCAGCCGCCCAGCTCGCTCGGAAAGTCGGGGGCCCGAGGGAAGGGCGCTCTGGGAGCCGCGGTGCCCCGGGCCGGCCGCGGGACAGGGGCGCTTTGTGCCCCTCCTCTGCGCACCCTGGAGCGCGAGGTGCTGCGCGATGCGCGCAGCCAGGAGCGCAAGCGCGGCGGGCCCCGCTGTAGCGCCCTCGGAGCGCACCGAGTTGGGGGGGCGTTCTCCGAGGTTCCCCATCAGACCGAGGTCTCTGAAAGGCGCTGACTGGAAAGGTCGAGAAAGCTTAGGGCATCTACCGGTTTATTATTAGTAGTTTTTATTTATTTATTTTAATTTTGAGAGTTGCTTCAAGCATAATTTGTTCTCAATCCCACTCCCTCGACTCCCACTCCCTGCCTGTAGCTTTTCCTGGGCTAGAAGTTTCCTCTGGTGGATAGGAGGTATCCTTCACCCCTTGGTATCGTTTGAGTGCTGCTGAGGTTTTTTAATATAGCTGTTTTGTTTTTTATTTGATTTCTGTTATGTGCTTGAATTTTGTTCAGCAAACTGTTATTAAAGGTTGCAATCAGTTGCAAAATTAAGCTGCCTGCGACTTCTCAGTAGCAGCATGATTTTACCTTGCCTTCAGGTTTTTAAGCATTTTTATCCATTCTTCTGCATTCTGCAGATATATTAATGTCTATCAAATATGTCACTCATTATGCTTGTGCAGCTGTATTTTAGTTCAGTCAAGGCTTTATTGAGTGATCAAAATGTAGACTCTTGCTACCACAGATGTAATGTCATCACCCATATCTGGAAGCCCTTAGACAAGAGTAAAGGTTATTTCTGCAGGCAATCTAAGTCAGTTTAGACCAGCAGAGGTAATAAAAATACATACAGTAATAACTAAGGGAACAGCTCTAAGTGCAAACAGGTTTTTTACTGCAAGCGGAGGTTTTAAGGGGAACACTGCTTGCCTATCACTTTGGGAGAGTGCTCTAGATTTTATAACATTTTATTTTAAGAATTCTTGTATTACCTTGAGGTTTGATACTGACATGGCCTAGCAATGACTTTTGGAAAGGAATTGCCAAAGGACTGATAGCTTTCTAGAAGATTATTCCTTCTCATTCTTCCCTTTATTCCTTCCCATTCTTTCAACAAAATTGATGAAAGCCAATCTATATGAAATGTAAAATATTTTCCAAAAGACTATTTTGAGCTGCAGTTTAGAGCCATATTGTAAAAAGGTTAATGTCTGCTTTTAATTTTCCTCCTTCCTCCCTTTTTCCCTTCCTTCTTCCCTCCCTACCTTTCTCCCTCCCTCCCTACCCCTTCCTTCCTTCCTGCTTCCTTCCTTCCTTCCCTCC